AGGTAATTATAAGAATCAGAAATTTACTTTTTTTATCTATCAAAGGCTAAACAATGACATCACATGACACTTGCATGGATTTTATTTGCCAAGTGCTTTGCCAGTTCCTGAGGTAATGGCACCATCTGTTGGTCCCGTACCACCTCTGCAGAATGGCAGCCAGTTAATCCCAGCTCCCCTTAAACTGAATCACCTGGTTAACTGTAGAACAGCTGTACTGTTTCAGCAGTGCAAAGATCCAGAAGAAAAAAGAAAAACCTTTAACATTTCCAAGAATATAGGAAATAGGCATTTTATCTAGAGACGCCAACCCTGAACAGAAAAAGATTAACTAAAAGTTCTATTTTTCTCATGCCAGCATAAAAGCTGCAGCAGCCATAGGCTGAATCTGTCTTACTCATCTGACACACTTCATTTTCAGATCAATTTTCTTTTCTGATGTGTTTATTATTTGGACTCTACATTAGACTTCCACAGCATTATCCAAAAATCAAGCTTTCATCTAAAATCATCCAAGTCTTCAAAATGAAACACAAGTCTGAAGTGATAGTGTCTTCCTGAGTGACCAGAGAGAAAAATAATTGGGAGCCTGGCTATGTTTGGAATTTTACTTTTTCCAGCTATTTTATAGTCTCAGTAAGGCATTACCCTTAAAAGCCACAGATGAAACTACACAAGAGTATTATTAGCTCAGAAGGCACTAGTTTAATCCCTTAGCAATGTCTCAGTGATATCTCTTACCATTTTTCACCCTCTACTCCCAGATTATTGCCTATAAATCAAAAAAGAATTCAGAACTAACCAAAGAAACTGACACTGCTATTGAAAACACTCCCATTGCCAAAGACTGGGCAAGTTCTGTAGTATTTCAAGATATGTGTGTCCTTCCCTTCAAGAATGCATGTGTTATTTCCCTCCTCCAAAAAATACAAGGATGATGGTGATCACTAAGGCTCTCCTGCAAGTTGCAAAGCTTATTATAATAGTTTATTACTTCAGGGTTCTTACCACAGGGACTCTCCAAGCATCCCTCAATAATTATGAAACAGAACAAGACATCTAAAGAAACAATTTTATCTCAAGGACATGGAATAGTTAGAAGACATAGGAGGAATGACAGGTTTAATTCAAAAATCAAGATTAGAGATGAATGAAGATTTTGTATGCTGTAATACAGTGTCTTCCCAAATATACTCATAAGTGGTCTCTATCTAATTGGGTTGTTTAGCAAGATCACTGGTAAAAGGGTGTATGCTCAAGAGTCACTTCAAAACTTTAAATTTTTGCTACCGAGAAGCAGCACTGAGGAGTTCAAAAGCTTAATTCTCCTGTAGATATTATTCACCTCCTTCTGTAGGACAGGGAAGTAATGGAGGAATGTTCCTGCTTTGTGAGAAAGACAAGACACTCCAAAAAAGGTACCTATGATTTGCACATTCTGCTACCACAAAGTACTTATTTCCACACTATCCCATATTCTTGTTTACAGTTTGAAATAACAGCAAATTAGGATATATTTACCGACTGTATTTTACAATGTATCCTGAACATTGCTTTTGTAATTGGTCTTGACAGGGTAGTATCTAAATGCCAAAAAAGCATCCAAAAATCTGTGGTTTCAGCTTCCAATATTATCACAATCCCTACTCTGAAACTGAACAAGACAAGACAGAACTGCATATACCTACAGCCCAAATTACTGCTATTACAGAAAAAGTTACATAGACAGAAGAATTGGGGAACTAACACTTCATAACCTGATGGTGGGCTACTATGTCAAGTTGAACCCAGCAACAGATAGAATTAAACTCCTTTATTGAGAAGCTCCATACAGTAGTTAAAACCAACTCTAGTATGTAGCAAGTAAACCAGCTGTTGCTTCACTGCAATGAAGCACTTTGAGTAAAATACAGCTGTTACTCAGCAAGAAATACAGAAATAAATACAGAAATACAACAGTGCCAAAAGAGAAGCAAGGCATATTTTTTCCCTAATGAAAGTACAGAAGAACTTCAGGCAGAATGTAATTCCACAACTGAGACTTCATACGAAGCATGAGTTTCAACTATCTGCAAATAAAGCCTCTGAGAACTTTTTTTTTTTTTTTTTTTTTTTTTTTACGGCAAGTTTTTGGGAATCTCACATTTTTCTAAGATACACTCGGGAATGCACACAGCAACTTCCCTAATGCCAGTTTCTTGGCAGCTTAAATAGTATAATAGCCCATATTTTTAAAGTATTAGATAATAAACTGAACTGTGCACCTGCCTTACAAATATGGGTACAACTCTGTCTTTGAAGTCTGAGGTCTGTACAGCTTCCTAGTGAACAATGGAATTTAAGTAAAAACACTTTAAATAATAATTTGAAATGCTCGCCCTTTTTACCAGGCAGTTGTGTTACAATACTGAGGGAGTATCACTTACCCATGGTCACGTAAGGCAACTTGTCAGTTGATCCATGGGGATATATGCTGTAAAGGTGAGGTCCTGTGACATCTACTCCCCCTAAGACCAGGGCAGCACCAATGTAGCCTTGATACCTAGGAGCAATGTTTATATGTGAATCTGAAAGTCCACAAAAAAGCTGTGGTTCTTTTTAACACAATGCACTCATTTGAGAATTTTCCATGATTACATCAGGTACCTCTCTGTAATAGAAAGACTACTTCTACTATCTGTAAGCAACAGTTTAAATTAAGAAATTTATTAAAATATAGGGTATTTCAGTGTCAAGCAGAACAAACAAGCAGGGGACAAGCAAGTAGCCTGGATGATACATCTGTGCTAACAAAGAGAGAATTTGGACTAGCTTTCAAGCCTTAAATTCCTGTATCTGAAATTAAGTTTTTATTTAGAGACTTCAAAGAAAATACATTTCTTCATTTCCCCCATGAGATGTTCTTGGCGGTTTTATCTTCTTAATTTATTGTTTTGTGACACACTTCAAAAAAGGCAAACTGCCTAGCGCCTAGCAGTAAGGCATTAAGTGACTGAGCTGAATATTATAATTTATCTTGGTCACTCAGCTGCACGAAGCATTTTCTTGTCATTGCTTTATTCCACCTTCCTGTAGACTTTCCAATAGCTTGAACAATATCTTTAATTGAATACACTCATTTTATCTTCTTTCAACAGCATTTTTTATTTCTGCAAAAGACAGTACTAGAATACTTAAAGGTTTGGAGAGTATGCCCTCAATCTAAGGGCATGTTCTATGCCATGCTGTAGTTAGTAAGCTCAACTGCGACTGTCTTTGATCAGTCCAGCACTCAAATAAAATCTTAGGATAACTGCAATACAACTTCCAACAAGTTTACTCATTTTTCTCACTATACCACTGACAGACTTCTATATTAACAGCTGTGGCCTTCAAATGGTTAAACATTTCATTCTTTTGAAAATAAAATACATATTGAGGTAGTGATTCCATTACAAGTCACATGAAATTTTCAATTTTACAAGCTTGCACATTACAAGTTTATTACTGATCCAGCCATCTCACCACCAAGATAAACAGTTTTCATGTGTGCAATCAACAGTTTATTAAACAATTGTCCTTCTATTTTTGCCATGTAAACACTAGCAACACAGTACAGCTATAGTATCAATTCTCTAAAACACCAGAGACTTTATTTCTCTTCCATTTCAGTTCAAAAGCCTACAAAGCAAAGGGCAATTATTACATCTTTCTCGAAGTCTTGTTATGAAGGTTAAGTAGGCTGAGGAAGGGTGCTCCTTCAAAGAAGCTAAAATGTTATCTAGTGGTTTTAACAGCATTTTTAACAAAAAAGAAACTGATTCAGTTACCTGAAAAGCATTTGCTTTAGCATTCTATTAGCTGTGACAACTCTTGGAAGTCGTCCGGTAGATAATGAATGGAGCTCCAGATTGGATGAAATCAGTTGAGTTGTCATATCGGTATCTGCAGCAGTTCCAGCACCGCAACAACTGAAAGATATTATGTACAAGTTAGGAAAAGGTGGGGAGGGACAGGGGAAACAAATCTCTGCTTTATCCAACAAGTAGAAATTTTTTCATTGTAAAATTAAGTAAGTTAAGTTCTAATAGAGTTAATATTTTCAGAGCATGAAATCAGATCATCTGTTTAAATGTAAATGAAATAACAAAAATACCCAAGTCTTGCTAACAAGTTATCATTTTAGAGTACACTTTAGTACTTGCTGTTAGCAAAGGACATGGTTAAAAATCCCAGTACTATTACCAAGAACTTTACACAATAAACAATTTTAATACTTACTAGATATTGGGTGAGATGAAGTGTATTTTTGAACAGTTCTTGTCAGCAACAACCATTCCTTCAGTTGCTCTTGTATCTGCTCCGAGGACTATGCCATCCTACAAAAAAAAATGAATTATTCCCAAAACCTCGATTTCCCAAGGCGACCTTTCCGTCACCGGCTGCCAGGCCCGGGTCAGGCCCGCAGGAACCGCGGTACGCCGCGAATGACTCAGCACCGCGGAACCTCCGCCGCCCGCGGGGCCGAGCGGCCCCAGAGCGAGGGGTGGCGGCGGCTCCGCTCCCCCGGGCCTGAGGGCGGCGGAGCGGCCGGCGGGGCGGCCCGGCCTCCCCCTGCCCGCCGCGCAGCGCCCGGCGCCCGCCTCACCTTGAAGACGACGCCGGCGATGGTGGTGCCCGTTTTGCGGGCGGCGGGCAGGCGCTGCCCCTTCTGCGTGAGCTCGGCCTCCAGGAGGGAGTTCCTGCAACACAGGGCGGGGAAGTGGGGCCGGAGCGGAGGGGCTTCCCCTCAGCCGCGGCCCCCGCTGCCCTCCCGCTCCCGGTGCCCCCCCCCCCCCCCGCCCCTCTCCTCACCGAGCGCAGTTGTCGAAGCTGAAGCCGCCGCTCGGCGCCCGCAGCACGGAGACCGCCGCCATCTTACCGCCGCGCCAGGGACGGGGCAGCCGCCGGCCGAGCGCTTCCGGGGCGCGCGCGGCGGGGCGGGGCGGGGCGGGGCCGCGCCTCTCCCTGCCCTCAAAATGGCGGCCGCGGCCTGCGGGCGCGCCGGGCGTTGGCAACGGGGAGCGAAAGCCCCGGTGGTTTGTGAGGGGGAGGGTCGGTCAAAGGCGGGAGGCGGCGGCGGCCGCAGCCGCGGGTGGGGCAGGGTGTGTCCCTGGTTTGATGCTGGAGGTGTTTGAGTCCTGGGGGGCGGGTGTTGGTGCTGCTCTGGGCCGGAACGGGGGGTGGCAAACGCTGCGCAGACAAACCTCGGTTTAGGGGTAATTTATACTAAAACAGGCAATGCCGCGCTGCCCTGTAGCGCTGAACGAGCTGCCGAGGTACGTTCCTGTGCTCATCCGCCTGCCCTGACCCGCTGCAGTGGTCGGTGAGGGACGGGAACAGCCGAGATGTTCGTCCTGGCTCTGGCTGTGCTTTCATGGGGAAGCCTGGGCTGTCGTGTTGCTCCTTCCTTTCCCTTTCTTTTACCATATTTAAAATGGAAGTAATGCTGTGTTTACTGCGTTGTAGGACTTGACTAACGGGTTAAAAAGCTTTGAGACTTTTAGAGAAAATGAAAGGATGATGAAAGACAAAAAAATCTCAAACCTTTGTGCTTAGATCTTATAAAGAACCTATAATTGCATGAGAAAACAGAAACTACCTAAAATTGCTGTGCTGTTAATGTAATGGTTATATGGTGAAATAAAGATGAATGCCCATTTTTGAATTTGGGAAAGGCCTGCTGTATGTCAAGGAGGCCAGTAAAATTAATTTAGTATGTTCTTGGTAAACTACATCTCGGCTCCGTTTTAACTTTTCTTGCAGCTTACTGACCTGTTAAAGGGAATGCCCCAGTGTATCCATAGAAAAAAGAACTTATGGCAATGTCCCAAGAAAGGACGAGTTTTAAGGCAAGGCAGTCTTGTAGTGAGATTTTCCAAAGTCTACTGTATATCTAATTTGCTTTCTAGATGTATAAGTGCCTGAAATGAAAAATCTTGTCAAATAAAATAAAAAAAAAAAACCGCTATTTGCTCCAAACATTAAATGTTAATTACATGAGGCCCTCTCTTCTAGAACAACACAAGAACGTAAGTAGCGCGTGTTGGCTTCTTGCCTAAAGGAAACTTTCTCCCAAGTATTTTACTGAGTAAAGTGCCTTTTTCCTTCTTGATGTGGTTAATGCTCAGAACACGACATCGTTAGAGTAGGTGGCATTGCTGAGAGGAGCAGACCTGCATTTCAGTCCAAGAGGAAGATGGCTCTTACATCAGAAGCGAGCCAGACATCTTGCAGACTGCCTCTGAACAGTACCCAATTAGCAGATGGCCTAAAAACGAAACCAGGGTCCCATGTGTCCACACCAAATCTACATGTCTGCAGTGTCCCTCCTAATTATTTAAAAATGAGTGTTCTCCATCAAGTGTGTTATTCAGATGAAAGTATGCAAACAAAAATGGGGTGGGTGGGCAAAGCTATTGTGCAATGTCTGTTTTTTCCTCCAGTGTTCAAAAATACTTGCCAATGGGTGGGAACAAAAGCAGCCACAGGGAAGAAAACCAAACCCCAGCCTCTTTCTTGATTGTGCCAGTCTTGGAGAAAAAAAACATCAGCCTTGTTCAGACTGGAGGAGCTGCAGAGCCAAGCATGGCACTAGCCCCTGCCAGTGAATAGGAAAGTCCTGTCATGAAATACAAACGAATGAGCTTATGGTAGGGATCGGGAAATGCGAGATCCTCTGATTTACAGGCTCTCACTGAGGACACCTTGCAGATGGCAAACTCTGTGACATGTGCTGACATTGCTCAAAGTTGCTGTGGTGCTGAAGAGGGGGAGTAGGCGGCTGATACTCGAAATCTGGAAAAAGTAACGGACGTGTCTGTTTTCTGAAGTGCCCTTTGGTTTCTGTTGACTGTCAGAAAGCCGTGTTGTCCTGTCCCAGACAGGCCAGGGGCCCCTGGGGATACGTTACTAAGCTGGTGGAGTTCCAGAGGTCACTTTTTTGGCATAGGCTACATCAGTCTCCTGTGTGTGGGGATTCATCGCTGCTGTGTCCTATAGGGCCCAGATGAGGCTTGGCTGCCTCTTTTGAAGTGGAGAACAATATACTGGAATCATGTGTTCCAACAGACCAGGAAGGACCATCTTTAAGACAAGCACACAGAGAACCCGCGCTCTGCACTCTTCTCCCCCTTCTTTCAACCCTTGAGCAATTAAATCCCATTTTCTTGTATACCAGCTACACTAGGAAGCTGTCTGAGAGAAAGAATATCCTGCTGCCAGATGCTCTTTTTTTTATTCTAACACAGTTGTTTTTCTCTTCACTTGATAAAGTTAAAATAAACAGTCTCTGGGGTGAATTACAGGCATCAAAATTGGATTGGCATACAAACTGTAGAGCAGTTGGTGGTTGGGAGTCTGGGGAAAAAGAAACAGCAGGTTTTAGCTAGAGGGGACAACAGCTTTATTTCCCTCTTGGTCCTTGACAACTAAGCAGATGTCCTACAATTATTGTTTTACCTTCTGGTAATATAGTGTCTTTTCCTATCCTCCCAGGTACGCGACTGGCTCTTTTGCAGATGTGCAGGTACATCTCTTCCCTAGTTGAAAGCCGTCTTAGTGCACCACTAGCTCCATCTATTGCTGGTTAATGGCTAGCTGGAATTCAGACAAACACTTGCTTCTCCCTCTCAACTTTATAGAATACCTATTTCCAGTCCCATTTATGTAGATACAACTGATGGTCTGAAGAATAAGATCTTTTCTGAACATCTTACTTGGGCTTTTTCACACGTGTTGTACTGCAAACTTTGCTTCTGTGTTGATGTCCTCTCCTGTATACACAGATGTTCATGTTTTCTACAGTCCTTCAGAGTCCTCCAATGCGGGTGTCATCAGGACCACTAAACCCTGACAAGTGCCCTGCGTTCCTCAGAACAGGTGATGGGGTAATGGCTGGTGTCAGTAGGCATAACCACTGTCATTGGGTACCCATTGTACTGGGTTGGAAGAAACATAATGCAATGGTCCCGTTCTGAAGAGCTTGGTAAGTCTAAAAGTATTTAGAAGAAAGAAAACTGAGGGAGAGTGTGTCAAGTTAAATAATTTTTGAAGGTTCTGGGCCAATACATAAAGGAGTGCTTGCATGATCTCCTGTTAGACATCAAATGGTCTGTTCAGCAGCTTCCATTTACAATGAGGAAGGTCATCTTTGTACTGTCTGAAATATCCTCTCTGAAAATCTAGGTCTACATACTTTCAGGGCTTACCTTCACCTGGTCTGATGAACTGTGCTGACGCATGAAGAATGCAAACTTTTCTCTTTACTTTTTTTTTAAGCAGTCCTGAAGTCTGTTTCTAGCCTTAACAAAGCTGTAATCCAGTTTTATCATCCTACAAGACATCTGACAGGGAAGTTAAATAGCACTCCAGAAACATTTTTGAAAACTTATTTGGGATACAAGGAGTGTTAGTGTTTTTCTCAACAGGTGGGCATTCAAGCTGAGACCTATGTCTTTACAGTATGTGTGTGTATATAATGTATAAACTCACAGGTATTTTGATGTCTGCATTTATACCCTGCCTGGTTTCCCGGTTCTGTATTCAGTGCTTTCTTTGTGCGTGAGTGCCAAGTGGCATCTTGAATTCTTGGACCTTATTTGAAGAGGCATTGGGTAACTTGGAATGTTTAACAAAATCTTCAGAAAAATTTTAAACGAAGCTTGCACCTGCTCTTGCAGTATGAAAGACAAACGTGCTGCTTATTCAGGGTAACAAGTGTAAATCATCAGTGAATTTTTTGCTTTCTAGAATAAGGGAGTTGCAGAAAGTAAAGTCTTAGCAGTTGAGGCTCTTGATCCTGTAGAGAGGCAGGAGTGGGTTTTTGTAATGGGACAGTGATGGGCAGAGAGTTTCCATTACTCCAGCACTCTGATGGAATAACTTGACACCTAAACCTGTTCATTTAAGGTTTTCAAAGGAAAGACAGACAACCCTGTAGCCACAGTCAGCCCAACAGCTGCACACACTGACACAGTCTCAAGTGCCCAGTAGTTCCCCAGTGAAGCCTGCAGCACTGTTAGGGAAAAGCAAGCTAGGGTCCCAGTATAGCACAGGTGGGAGTGCAGTGCCCAGTAGCATATGTTAGGGACTGGTGCCTACAACCATTCAAAATGAAAGGTGACAAATCACCCCCGACACATGCATGTGAAACGATGGTCAATTGGAGAAACCCAAGAAATGGTTTCTTGTGCTATGCGTAGCCACACTTAACGTCTCTGTTGCATGAAGTCTGGATAACTGAACGGCTGGCTGCCCTGACGTTCAACGTCTGTCTGCAGAACTCGTGGGAGAATATACTGGGGCCCTGCACCATCCAACCCTGCATGGGACTGGTTTTCATTAGCGCTGGCCAGAGGCAATGCAAATTGTCCAGAAGCTGAAAGCACGTGCTGCAGTTGCTCCTGAACCCCGGCCATGGCTCTGTCTGGTGTGTACTCCAACAAACATTCGCTAATTCCCCAACTAGCCAGCAACTCCTGTAATGTCCCAAGGTGAACTTGTGTTCGGAGTGGAGCCAGGCAGAGAGATAATCACTGAACTGGAGAATAAATGCACCATGTGTCTCTCCTGTTCAAAACCACTCTAATTTCAAACATCTTGCCTCAACAACGATCTGTTAACAGACTGCAGGCCAAGAAGCTGTCAGAAGAATTTAAATACAATTCTGACAAGATCAGAACTAGATAGACTAAAACTTTACCAACCTGTGGCTAAAACGCTAATCAAGTAAGTGCTTCCTGGGTCAAGACAGAAGGTGATCTCTCAGGGATCTTCTTTGTTGTGCAATTGTAGCTTCCAAAAGCAGGAGATTTATTTGAGGTGTTTAAACTCGTTACAGGAAATAGAGAGTTGACCCAAGTTCAAGAGGGTGTCTTCATTACTTTGAAAACTGAAAGAAAAGGTTGAAGCTGGGAGCAGACAGGTGCTGCAGTCAAGGGGATGATGCACTGAGATGTGAAGCAAATTCCCAAGAGTTTCTGAAAGAACCATTTTCTGAACAGGAAATAGTTGCTGGCAGAGATGTAGACATAAGAAATAGACTTCTTCCCTCCCAGAGAGTGGGACAAATGAAGTACACAGGGAGCCCTTTGCTTGCTTTCAGCTAAATGCTGTAGGGCTAGAAACTCAAGAAAGCCTAATGCTGATCTTCCACTATTTTGTAGCGTTATGATACTCAAATCATTATGCTACTGTCTATCACTTGTCAATACTGTTTAGGAGAAGTGCCTGAATTTCTGGTGTTCTGTTGACAATTGTGAAAGTCCTTCTGTTAGTAGTGTTGGAATCAAGTTTTCAGCTTCATTTAGGTTCTGGCAAAAACTACACAAGTTGAACGAGGAGGAAGAGAGTTTCAGGTATGAGGAGGTCTCTGTGCCGCTCTCTGAGATGCTGTTGCAAGTCATTAAAAGGGATGTGAAGTGAGGAGTCCATCTGGACTGTGAATACACACTTGAGTTGACTGAACATGACTGCAGAGGTACTGCCATTTTTAAGACAGGCTGTGCTTCCAAAAATAGGTGTTGGTAACCTGTCAGTGTTCGCATTTGCAGAACACATTTGGAGCAGCAGGTAGAGGCTGTATATATATTATGGCTGTAACCTGCTGTATTGCAGGAGAAGAGTCTCCCATTTGCACTGAGGAATACCACTAAATGTGAGTGAGGTGGGAAGAAAAATAGTGGGAATACTGAGCAGCGACGACCCTGTCATAAACTGGGGTGACGGGGAGCTGGGCTACCAGGAGTACAGCAGTCCAGCATGAAGAAAACTGGAAGGAAGTAGGGAACGATGGCTGGTTCTTGGAAAACAACCTGCTGCAGATGCTGGTGTTCTTGCAGGTATGTGTGGATCACAGCCCACAGCTTCCCTGGCTCTGCTTGCTCCTTTCTGAGGATATTGGTGTCCTTCAGCAGGTTCGGTGCTTTCCAAAGGTTGCAGTCGGGCTCAGC